GTGGTACCCCCTCAGAATTTTGCCTGGGCTGATCTAAAGCAGTTTTCAGTCTTAAAACTGGCTACTTCCAGGCAAGCAGGATGAGGGAGCTCCCCAGTACCTGCAAACACATCCTGAGCACACCGTGCATCCCGCATAGATCCATCCTGCTTCCAGAGATGTTTGGGTTCTCAGGTCAGGGAAGTCTGCTACAGAGTGTAGATAATGCTGCGATTTTATCAGAAGTGGAAAAAAAAATATGTTAGCCTAATGAACACAAGAATAGCTCATTTACCAAGGCTCTAGCAAAGTAAATGGGCAGAAAACAGAGCCTACGTGTTGCCACCTATCTTATTCTCAATCAGCTCGCTTTCTCCCCCAATATGGACCATTTACTCACAGGAGGGGGCTTTAATAGGTATTTAGAAGTGTGAAGCAGAGCCTTTCACCCACCTGTGTGGTATCCTTTTTAAAAAAAATACAAAATCAACCCTCTCAGCACACAGAGCACTTCAAGCTCGGTGGATTCTTTGTGCCACCCTCGCAGATCCCGCTGCGCTCAGCACCCGGAGATTACTTTGCCATACAAAGAGTATGTACTTGAGTTTTCAAAACAAGTCATTTTGGGAAAGCCTGCACTTACAAAACGGCCTTGAGGACTGGGATATGGCAGAGGAGCTCAAACTCACTGTCACTGCTGAAGAGTTTCTGCAAGGTAAGGGCCTCAGAGGTCTTGCTTGATTGACTTGGCTTCCTTTTAAAAAGATTCCCATCTCCAAAACTCAGGTGAAAATTGAAAAATCTGGTAAATAGTAAGTTCCTGTCTGGAAGTTAACAAAAAGCCCATTTTCTTTATGTTTAAATGGGATCAGATCACCTTAGAAGTGTCTGCAATTACATATAAAGTAAGTATGCAGCTTATAGCAAATGAGGCTAATGCAAAAAATACAAGCTAGCCACAGTGTCTCTGGGCTCCCCATGTCTACCACCAGCTCCTGACCAGACCCTGCGCCATCACATGCTGAAGTGGCAAGCTGACCCCTCAGCACACGGGTGCTCGCTGCCGGGGGCACTGCCAGATGCCAGGGGTAAATCTGGGATCTGGTATTACCTACAGAGGCCAGCAGTGTTTCAGGGAATGGCCTGGGAAAGGGGCTTTTCTTTTGCCAGCCAGAACATCTGTGTCCAGACTGGAATTTTTCTATGCTTATTTAGGAAAAGCTGAAGCCCATTGCTCAAGGACAAGGATATAATCCCATAGCTCTGCCTGCAGACGCACTTCCCTCCAAACACAACCTTTTGGGTAGATAAACTTGGGAAAGGAGGACTGAAGGGAGTGATTTACACTCTTCTGGCTTTACAGGGGAAAAAGAAAGTAAAATTTCAGATCTGAACGCCATTGTTTGGGCTGGCCGCAGCAGTGCAAGAACACACAGACATGCACGCTGTATGCAGAACAGGAAATAAAACACTCTTTAGAGGGATGAGAAGGTAACTGGGGACCTTTGCCTTGGGATCTGTGTTGCATTAGAGCTTCCCCAGCCTGCCTCTGGACAGCAGGGTCTAGAAATGGTCCTCAGGTAGGACCCACAGGGTGACATTTCTCTTTCTCCTTAGAACCTGGTGTTCAGCCCCACCTGTGGATGTGGGTAAACCCCAGCCTGGTCTGCCCTATCCCCAGGACTCCTGGTGTAGACCCGGCCAGATCCAACAGCCTGAAGGCCTTGACTGGTGGTGCCACAGAACCCTCCTCTCCGAACACATCCTGCGACTACTCCGACTTGGACTGCTCTGAGGAGGATGTGCTGTCATCCTCCAGCGAGGGTGGAAAGGTACAAAAAAGGGAACTGCTTGGGCAGTCCTAGGCATTGTGCACGCTTAACGATCCTGCAAGAACAAATGAGCTCACTCAACAGCTCTGCGAGCTCTTGCCTCCCATTTCAGCAGGGGTCAGTCAACACACAGAGCCCGTCTGACGAACAGGCTGAGAGTACAAAGTGCGGGGATGGAGGCTGAAATTTAAAGTACATGAGCTTTCCATACACGCTCCACCAGACCCACCCTCCCCCAGAACAAAGCAGTGTATCCCTGTCCCTCATTCCACGCAGGGCTAATAGATCCACATCCTTTTTCTCCTTCCTCTCACCAGCTTACTGAGGATGAAGACACTTTGCATGTGGATGTCCCAGTTCCTCAGGAGATGCCGGAAACTCCTGAACTCAAGACGATGCCGATGCCTTGGAAATCAACAGTCCTCAGACCTCAGAGTGTGAAGCTCAAGTCCCCCAGGCAGATGAGCACCGAAATCGAGGGAGGCTGGCCCCGTCCCCCCCTTAATTACTGCATCCTTATCACCCTCGCCCTGTGCAACAGCACAAGTGGCAGTCTGACCGTGCAGCAGATCTACCAGTTCATGCGGTACCCACTCTTCTCCCAGCTCCTAGTGCAGAATGAGGGGAAGAGGGGCAATGAGGGGTACAGGAGTCTCTGATCATCTACTGAGGAGCAGGGGTGTGGCAGCCGGGACTTGCATTCGGGTCTTAGCTCTGCCTTTGGCTCGAGATGCCGCTGAGAAAACTGCTCCCCCTCTTTGTCAACAGCCAAACCCATGAGTCTCGAGAGCTGGCATTTTAGTTTTGTCTTATCCTCCTTAGGAAAACACAGTGCTCGACTGCGCCAGCCATCCTTACACCACAGGGGTCAGGGAGGACCCTCTCCTCCTTCCCTTGCTCGGATACGATGTATTCTCTTATTTGTCACAGCCTCTAAGTGCTTCAGCTCAGGACAAATCTTTTCTCTCCGCAGGCAGCACTTCCCATTTTTTCAAACAGCCCCAGAGGGCTGGAAAAACACGATCCGACACAACCTGTGCTTCAGCAGCTGCTTTGAGAAAACCACCAACTTCATGTGCAGTGAGGGAAACCGCAAGTCCTGCCTGTGGAAACTGACTCCAGAAGGACACAGAAAGTTTCAGGAGGAAGCACAGGCCCTGCCCAGAGAGGCTCTCGATTTGGTGTGCCAAAGCATGAGCGAACCAGGTACGTTTCAGAGGGCCAGAGCCCTGCAAAATGCAGAGCAAGTCAGACTTTACAAGATTCCCATAGCAGGAGGGATATGGGCGGGCACCCAAGCCAGTATGCAGCCACCAGCACTGCAGGGCCCTAGGTCCGGGAGATGATGCCAGACACTCAGAGATCCCTGTAGAGATACCCCCACAAACAGGGCTTGATCACGAGACCGGCCAAGAAGCCTTCTTTAATGAAACCAGCACAGGGAGAGAAACAAACCAGGCTACAGTAAAACACGGAGCCTTCGGTTCAGTATCGCACTGCTCAGCAATACAATACCTATCAGTTTAATATGGGTAAGAACTGAGACTGTAGCATCAGTTCCTGAGCAGTCATTACTCTCCAAGTAACTATCATGACTTCCTCTCTCTCGCTCTCTCTTTTGCAGATCTCATGAGAACTCTGTTTGGCCTATGATTCCTTCTGGCTCCCTGCTTCTGAAACACGTACCATGTGTTTTCAAACCAAGCTTGTTTTCTCAGGTGCTGTTGCAGGTAGCTTCCCAAGAATCACATGTGGAAATTACAAGCATCATGACATAAGGACTCAAATTTAGAAGGTGCTGAGGAGAAAGATGACCAATCTCATTTCCTTTGGTAAGGCAAGTTTTTGCTCCAGCTGCACACATCTCAAGTTGCAGAGGCATTTTGACATGTAGCACCCACTACAACTTTGTGTTAAAGTCCTCCACACAAGCTGCTGCCTCTCGCAGTGTTCTTGCAGTGCAGAGGGTTAAGCTGCAGGAGAAGGTTGATCTGTCCCCTAACAAAGGGTCTCAGCCCACAGGTCAGAGGCTGAGCAGAGAACGCTTTAGCTGGCTGTGTTAGAAGAGCCCCTACCACACAGATGTTATTCCAAGCTGTTGCATGTGCCTGCCCAGCTGTAAAACCAGCAGGCAAGGATCCACATAACTGCTGGGCAGGCTGCTTGGAATTTCTGCAACGCTCACTCGGCAGAAATCAGGGAGTGCTGCAGAGTGCGAGGAGGGAGAGAGGTATCTTTGGAGAGGCAAGGGTGCAACAAATTAAAAAAACCACACAGTCAGAGCTTGCTGTTGTGTTGTTGACTTACTTGCTTCTCCAGGAAGGGGCAGGAAAATCACGTCCCCAGGCCAGAATTCAGGCAGGTAGCAGGTGTCTAGCATTCAAGAAGAGCAGATTTTTCATACCTTCTTCCTGGCTGCTGCAGCAGTTGCTCAAATCGAAGCATGATCAGTCCAGTTATGTCCAGTATCAGTCCTGTGTGCAGCAGGAGCTGGGGCACCCTGTCAACGGGACAAACAGCACACAATCGTGATGCAAGTCCTGGAGTTCACTGCAGGTGGGTATCCTAGACCTGACCCACAGGGAGAGGATGCCAGGGGACAGTTCATCTGAACCTGCTCGACAGGGCAGGCTGGGTGCACCCTGGAGATCAGCTCCTTTCACCCATGTGCTCACGAGCGCATAAAAGAACTGATGCGTTACAAGTGAGTTGATCCCTCGGCTTAAGGCTAAACACATGCGCTCAGACGGTAGCGTGCAAACCACCACACTGGGTGGGTGTGCACAGCTGGGCACTAACATCACCTGAGCTGCTGCAGAGGTCAGAGGGAGGGAGATAGGTGGCTGTCAGTCCCACACATGACAGCACAGACTGTCTGTCTGTCTGTGAGCAGGACCTGCTTTAAGGTGAACAGTCACTGAAGGCCTGGCTGCACGGGATGGCAGCACTGAGGCAACCTTGGGGCTACGGTTCAGGTGCTCTCCTTCGACGAGGCCACGAGCACCCTCTGCTCTTACTAAACGTGAAAAAAAATGACAAACCACTTAAAACTTTGGTAGGGCTGTGGATGGGCAGGGAAACAAAGGTGGACGTCCGACCGGTGCTACCAGACAGGCTGTGTCGAAAGGCGGGAGGTCAGTGCATCTCAGGGACGCAGGACGCACCTCCAGAGAGTGTTCATAATAACTAATGAGAAAAGTCCGACACCGGGCCACGTTTCAGACCGGCCGGGGGGAGAACGCTGCTCGCGCCTCCCCGCTTGGCATCAAGGGCCGGGGCACCGAGCGCAAGGCCAGCCAGCCGTGAGGGAAAAGCCAGCGTTTCTCTGGCGAGCCTCAAGCCTGAACCTCCTGCAGCGGGGCTGGGACTGCGGGCCGAGCCCTACGGCCGACCCCGGCGGGCCCGCGGCTCGCCCCGCTGCCGCCT